TACGCTAAAATTAAAATTAGTTAAGAAAGTTCAAAAATACCTCCAGAGGGGCTGGTGAGATGGCTCCGTGGTCTAAAGCACCTACTTAGAACAAGCTTAGCAAAGCACAGGGACTGCGGTTCAATCCCCCAGCACCACATGCCAGCCAGCCCCGCCCCCTGGTGGGCTGAGCTGGCCACTCACACACACACAAATAAATAAATAAAATAAAAAAAAAAAAAAATACCTCCAGAATTGGTCTTACCTTCTACATGGGAACATATTCAAAAAGCCCAGAATGGGCTGGGGAGATAGCTCGGCAGTCTAAGCACCTGCCTGGCAAGTGCAAGGACCCAGGTTCAATCCCCAATACCTCATGCCATGTTGGGCCAGGAACACTGGGTGTGCTGTGTTAGCCCCACAGCCAGGCATGGTGGCACACGCCTGTAATCCCAGCACTGGGGAGGCTGAGACAGGAGGATCACTACAAGTCCACGCTGCATAGCTGTAAAAAATAAATAAAAATTTGTTTTCAAAATTTAGGGCTGGGGATATAGTTCAGCGGTTTAAGCACCTGCCTGGTAAGGTCCCCAGTTCAATTCCCAGTACCACACACACACAAAAAAAAATTAAAACATGAGGAATACAAAGCCCCAAGACTTCCTGGGGAGAGAGCAGTTCAGCCAGCAAATTCCCACTCATCATCCTCTTGATGTGCTGATTTGTGACAGTTGCAGTCCTGCTCCGCAAGGACATCCCCCCTCCTCAGAGCAAGAAAGGAAACCAATCCAGAAGAGCCTTCATAGAGATCAGAATACCTCTCCTGGGCTTTGGAAACTAGACAGTCTGGATGAGGGCAGTGAGCTCTCAGGAGACCTGTCCCCAACGGCTTGGAGATCTACCAGAGTAAGGAGACTCGTGTTGGCTTCCAGTCTGGAGGATTCAAGAAAGGGACAGACCTAGCTGGGAGAAGCCTCAAGTGGCTAGACAAGGAGAGAAACAGGAATTGTCCTTCTGAGGGGCAGAATCCCCCAGCGCAAGTGAATGCTGGGAGGAGCAGCCAACTCCAGACATCCAGGGGCCTGCCCAAGACAGCTGCCAGCCTTGGCAAAAGGCCTTGGAGGGAGAGGCCGCAGGATGGACAGTCGAGGAAGTCAGAGGAACAGGGCTGGGGCTGAGCAGTGACCACAAGAGGTCGGCCAGAAAGTGTCAGCCGTGTTGCCCGTGAGGAACCCAACAGCACTTCCCAGCTCACAGCCACACCGAGCACGTGTCACTCTGTCCCTTTCCTGTAATTAGCTTAAGCTTGAAGGTGCCAACAAAGAAAGAGGGGTGAGAGTGCCAGGAAAGGAGGTGGCTGAGCAAGAGAGTGTAGAGTGGGGATGCAACTCAGGGGTAGAGCGCTTCCCTAGTATTCAAGAGGCCCGTGGGCTGGGGAGATAGCTCAGTGGTCCAAGTGCCTGCCTGGCAAACACAAAGACCAAGGTTCGATCCCCAGTACCAGATGTTGTATATACTGTGCCGGCCGGGTGTGGTGGTGCACACCTGTAATCCCAGGGCTGAGGAGGCTGAAACAGGAGAATCAGTACAAATCCAAGCTGCATAGTGAGACTCTGTACCAATCAAATAAATAAATAGAGGCCCTGGGCAGCATTCCCCCAGAGCTATGGGAATGAGGGAGAGAATGAGAGACAGAGATGGAGACAGAGGGAGAGAGAAAAAAAAGAATAAAAGAGTCCCCTCCTTTTTTTCTCTACTGCAGGTCACTTTAAATTAGACACAAGGCACTCTGCTTCATAATGTTTGTTTCAACACAAATATGTCACCTTACGCAACCACCACCACGATCAACAATAGTAATAACAACTCTGGCATAGAGTTGATAGTTGAAGCTGCACCCGGCAGCTATGGAGTCCGGGCCTTCCTGGTACCCTTATATGGAGCCCCTAGAGGGCCCTGGAAGCCGGGTTGCGCCAGGTCACAGAGCCTAGGGGCGCCCTAGCTGTCATGAGGCTTGGTGCGCGAAGTGAGTATCTCATAGGAGGCCACCGCACACAGACATCTCGGTGCTTTTGCCGCAGGTCTAGGTGCGGCTCTGCTCGCTGTGGGCTTGCTATTGCACCGTGGAAGGTCATGGGTTGGCCCAGGAAACGGCCCAGCAGCCGCGGGTGACTCTGGACGCCTAGCTTTTCCCCAGGCAGAGAGTACCTAACGAAATGTTTGAGGCGCAGTCATGCGTGAAGAGAAGAGGTCTCTGCAGCTTGCAGCTCTGGCAATCCCTGAGCACGGCGTGGGCATCCGCTCGGCTTCTGGTGGCCACGTGATCCTCCACGCAAGGCAGGAAGGCAGAAGCAGAAGCCAGGGTGCGCGGGCGGGCGAGAAGGCTGCATGGTGAAAGAGGAAGCGGGAGGAAACCCAGGAAGCCAAAGTCTCCTTCTAATCAACACCGTCTTCACAACTCGCTCACTCTCAAGAGAACTGCTTTCACACCTCCATACGGGTCCGCCCGTACTTCAAAACAGCTCCCAACACCATTACATCCAGGAACATCCAGCCTTCCTTGGAAATAAACCATATTCAAAACCATAGCAGTGCGGAGAGGAAATGTTGGTCCTTTGGGACACAGGTGCTAGGCAGACCCACCTGTGTAGTCACACATCACCTCCCTACATCCCCAGGGAGACCCTGGCTGGCTCCCACCAGAACACCTACGTGAGGCAGTGTCTCCCTCGAGCCCCATCTCTTGCCTTCAGCCTTGGGCAATCGGAGTCACCTCCTTCAGTGCATGCAGCCCATACTGGGGCAGCTATGCAGAAAGAGCGTGCAGCAACCAAGAAGAGGAAGTTCCTTGATACAACTTCTGCTAATGGAGCACAAGCAACTCTCAGCTGAGTGAAGTGGAAAGAACTGGTCCCGCTGAGACCAAAGACCGGGGTCTGGGCGCCTTTGGCTGCGGCCCTCACAGCAGCTGAGGACGCTTCCACCCAGCCTCCCTCCCTCTGTTCTGCTCTCAGGGTTGGACTGCACTGCAGGCTGACGGCTCTCCCTGTGTTCTCTCCCAGGGGCATCTATCCTCATAAAGTCCGCATGTGTAGTCTTACTACCCGCTTCTCAGAATTACTCATTTCCTGATGAAGAAGCTTTGAGCTAGGGGCCAGGGAGATAGCTCAGTAGAATAAGCACTTGCCTGGCAAGTTCAAGTCCTGAGTTCAATCCCCAGTACCAAAAAAAAAGAAGGCAAAAAAGAAGAAGCTTTGAGTTGCTGGGTAACCCATCCCCTCCCCAGACAGCCAGAACCCATTTGTAGACAGCTGGATGCCACATCTGTACACTGTGTACAGAGGAGGTGCTAGGAGGTCTGGCTTGGAGGGTAAGGAGCTATTTCTGGAGGGACCTAGAAGATCAAGCAGGGAAAAGAAGCGAAGCACAGTGGTGGAATTCCACACCTGTAACTGGAATGTCACGGCATAATTCTTCATGAAACTGAACAATGAAGTCAAGGACAAAGGAGGCAACAGGAGGAATGTTGGTGAAGAGGACAGAAACAGCTCCCAGTAATGGGGAGGGGATTATACAAAAAGGGCTCAGAGTGGTCTCATGGGACTAAAACAAGCTCATTTAAAAATAGAAATTGGGGCGGGTGAGATGGCTCAGTGGTCTAAAGCACCTACTTAGAACAAGTTTAGCAAAGCACAGGGACC